TATTTGTCAGTCACATATGCAATAGATATTCTATATTATGTGTACATAGAATAGTGATTCAAGATTTTTGGCAATCTGAAGTTAAAAATAAACTTTTTTTTTTTGATCGGCAAAGAAAAAAACTTTATTGATGATAACAAACATACATTAGATATGGGCAAACATCAATAAAGAGAAGACAAGAGCAACAATAACTAAGCTACCCATCCTAATCCCAACTAGGTTGACACCAAGAAGGACACCTAATCAAATGAAAGCTCAAGACAAGATGTTGGTAAGAAACCAACAAAACCAAACCAAACAACAAAATAGAACAAAAGCACCCAACCGAACAAACAAAACTCCCACTTAAATCAACCTAGACCTTTGCAACATTTTAGCTATCTTGAACAAAACCTTAATTGCTGCAAATTGAAGACCACATCATTGACAAAAAATGGCATCCCTACTGTGTTATATTCCAACCATAAAGCAATTCTAATTTTAATAATCCCCGAAGACCCTTGAAATCTGGATGAACTCCTTGGAACAAACACTTATTTCTGATCTTCTACACAGGCCACAAGAAAGTAAAATGAATAGACTTCCAAATCCGCCTTTCAAATCTGTTAAAACTCATACCAGACCACCACTCCAAAAGGCCTCCAATAGACCCAAGTATAACCCAAGACAAATTCCACCATTCTAGAATTTCAGACCACAACCTTCATACCAAAGGACAGTGTAGAAGTATGTGATTAATAGATTCCACTACCTCCCTACAAAAAGGACAAAGATTGTTTACATTGGAATCCAGAACTCCTATTCTTTGAAGGTATGCTGTTGTTTTTACTCTTCCTTTCCAAGCCAACTAGCCAAAAAACTTAACCTTTGGTGATGCACCATTACCCCACAATAGTTTCATGATACTAATAGATGGGCCATGATTATGCTCACACCTTCGCCTAGCAGATGAAACTAAAAAAGATCCAGACGAATCAACAATCCACCTTACTTGATCATCTAAATTGACCCTTAAATTGGGAACACCATTCAACACCTCAATAAGTCTTCTGACATCCTTCTCTTTACAAGCTCTTAAAGGTCTTTTGAATGAGAAATTCCACTCCCCTGCTACTTCTCTGGTTTGAACCAAAAGCTTTAGTGAACCATCTTTAGTCTTAGATAAACTGAAAAGTTTAGGGAAGACATCCTTCAACTTTTCATTCATCAACCATGTATCCCATCAAAAATGAATCCTCTCTCCATTACCTATCACAAATTTTGAATTATTAACAAAAAATGAATACAAATCAGCATTTTCCAGCACAGAGGATAGTATATCTTGCCAAACTATGGACATTGAACTAGAGATCACCATACATGGACTCTAGCCACCACCATCATGATCATACTTACTGCACACAACACTCTTCCATAATAAACCATTCTTAGAACCATATCTCCACCACCATTTTAGTGACAAACTCTCACTCAAATCCTTGATTCTGCCTAAACCCAGACCTCCTTGCTCTTTGGTCTTGGTAACTTCCATCCATTTCACTAGATAAACCTTTCTCTTCAACTCTGAATCCCCTCCATAGAAAAGCAGCTTGCAACCTCTCAATACTCTTTGCCACTCCTTTTGGCATTCTGAAAATAGATAAATAATAGATAGGCAAGCTTGATAACACAGACTTGATAAGTGTCAATCTACTAGCAAAAGATAATAGCTCCCTTTTCCATGATGATAGTTTCACCTTCACCTTATCCACAATAGGCTGTCATGTCTTCTTCCTCCTCGAATTGGCCCCCAAAGGTATCCTCAAAGTTAGAAACAAACTTAAAACCTTATCTCACTATATTTTTTAAAAATTGAGACTTTTTTTTGTTTGTTTTTAAATTAGCAAAAGTCAATGGTTAGTTGCCAGATTAGCACTATGGAGAGAGTTAAAACTCGCACCCACATACTTTGTAAATAAATATAGGCTGCCATGTCTTCTTCCTTCTCGAATTGGCCCCCAAAGGTATCCCCAAAGTTAGAAACAAACTTAAAACCTTATCTCACTATATTTTTTAAAAATTGAGACTTTTTTTTGTTTGTTTTTAAATTAGCGAAAGTCAATGGTTAGTTGCCAGATTAGCACTATGGAGAGAGTTGAAACTCGCACCCACATATTTTGTAAATAAATATTGCCCTCCTATTTCACTCCTAAGAGTGGAACCTAAGACATCACTTTTAAAAGAGACTTGGTGGCCAAAGAGTTAGCCAACTAAGTTAAAGCCCCTTAATTTAAAAAAATTAGGACCCTTTTTTTTTTTGATTGGCAAAAAATAAACTTTATTGATGAAAACAAAGGGTAAAGCACATGAATACATCAATAAAGCAAGGCAAGAGCAATAAGCATCATAGTGAACCTCCAAATCCCAACTAGGCTGGTACCATGAGGACCACCCAATCATATGCAAGCTCAAGCCATCAAAGTTGGAGAGATACTAACATAAAACCCACCAAAATAGACACCCACTTATACAACAACCTCACCAAATTTCACAAAGAGCACCTAGGTAAAATAAACCATCCAAAACACTCCCAAAATAACCAACCAAAACCTAATTAATTACATAACAGTACCAACAACAATAAAGCTAACAATGATATCCTCCACCAAGAATCCAACTTCATCAATCCACCCCGCCAATGAAAATTACACTGCGAGGCCCAGTAACAACAAAACTAACAATTATACCCTCCACCAAGATTCCAATTTCATCAAGCCACCCAGCAATTGAAGATCACACTGCGTGCCCCCCTACTGAACATAATGAAACATCCCAGCAGCAAGACACCCCACAACTAAGCATCCTTATAGCACTGCCCTCGCACCACTATCCAAACAGAATCTAATATGCTTCAAGTTAAAGAGAAAATCATGCACTATGAATTTATGATCTTTAAACACTTCCTTGAACCACACAGCCATTCTAAACTTTATCAGATCACACACACCTTCGACATTTGGAATAACATCTTTAAATAAGCATTCATTACGATGTTTCCACACGGACCATAACACTGTAATAGGAAGAGCTTTCCACATCATCCTCTCCTTTTTACTGAGCCTAAACCCTGCCCACTAGTGAAGAATAGCCTCCACTGTATCAGGCAGTGCACCTTGTACTCCCCACCAATTTAGTATTTTTGACCACACTCTCCAAGTCACTGGGCAAGACAATAGGACATGATTAATTGACTCATCCACAGATTTGGACATAATGTAGAGGGTTGATGCATTAGCATTGAGAACACCAATTCGAAGAAGAAAGTCTGCGGTTTTAAGTCTACCTTTCCAAGCAAGCCACGCAAAGAATTGGACTCTAGGAGGAATGTACTTCACCCACACCCTTTTGTTTGTTCTACTATAGTTGCCAAAACCACCTGCCAGAAATGTATAGACTGATTCAACTGTAAACCTCCCTATTTTTGAAGCCTCCCACACTAGTGTATCTTTCAAGGGAGACCAGAGGATAGGACGAACCTCTAAAAAACCTATCAATCTGGTAACCTCCACACTTTCGCAATCATATAGCTCCTTTCTGAATTGGAACAACCACTCACCTGTAACCACCTTCCTTTCCATCATTGCAGAGAAAGACTCTCCCTTGTTTACTACGAGTCTATATAACAGTGGGAAATCATCTTTAAGACTTATATTTTCACACCATTTATCCACCCAGAACTTCACTCTATGGCCATTACCCACTTTTAACTGACAATTTTCCAAAAAAAAAAACACCATTAGGCTGTTATTTTGTTCATTACTTTTCACAATATCCTTCCAAATTTTTGAACACTTGTTGTTAGAGGTGACTGAAGGCCACCAATTCCCTTCATTTACCTTATATTTGTTGCATATGACTCTTCTCCAAAGTTCTTTGCTCTCAACTCCAAACCTTCACCACCATTTTAATAAAAGGCAAGCATTCACCTCATTAACTTTTCTAACCCCCAATCCTCCTTGGTCAACAGGTTTAGAGACTTCTTTTCATTTTACCAGATGAACCTTCTTCCATAATTCAGACCCACCCCAGAGGAATGAGGTCTGAAGCTTATCCAGCTCTTTTGCAACCCCTTGTGGCATTTTATAGAATAGCAGATAGTATACGGGCAAAGAAGAAAGTACAAACTTTATCAGGGTCAATCTCCCTGTAAATCAGAGTAATCTCCTTTTTCCACCCTACTAGTTTAACTGTAACTTTGTCCAAAATAGGCCTCCAAGTTGTTTTTCTACTTGGTTTAGCCCCCAATGGTAATCCAAGATACTTAATTGGTAAATTTTTCACTTTGCAATTTAGCACAGATGCAAACTCATTCATAGATTCAACTGGAACTCCCACACCACTCACTACACTTTTGTGATAGTTTATCCTCAGACCTGATAATAGTTCAAAGCACCTCAATATTCTTTTCAAATTTCTGACTTTCAAAACTTCAGATTCACGCAATAAGATGGAATCATTGGCAAACTATAGTGGGTCAACACTACCCCACCTGCACCAATCTTCACCCCTTTTATCAATTCCATATCCAAAGCTCTTGATAGTAAAATATTTAAACCCTCAGCTACTATGTTGAACAGAAAAGGGGACAAGGAATCCCCTTTTCTGAGCCCTCTTTGCGGACTAAATTCACCAGTTGGTGCTCCATTAACAAGCACAAATAGTCTAGAAGAGGTAATACACTCCTTAATCCATCCCACCCACTTCTCTCCAAAGCCAAAATTTATCATCATTGAAAACAAAAAGTCCCAATTTAATAAGTCATAGACTTTCTCAAAATTCCTAGACTTCTTCCATCCATCTACCACCTCATTTGCTACCAAAACACCATCTAATATGTTCATACCTCCTAGGAATGCTGATTGATTTTCACTTATAATTTAAGGGAGCACTGCCTTTAACCTAGAGGATAGTACCTTTGATAGAATCTTATACAATGAGCAAACCAAAGTGATTAGTCGCTAATTAGCTAAACTCACTAGATTCTCCTTCTTAGGCACCAAAGTGATAAAAGAACTATTGATCCCTTTAACTAACTTACTGTTTTTATGGAATTCACTTATAAAGTTGATCACGTCACTCTTCATTACCTTCCACATCTTCTGGACACATGCCAAGTTGAACCCATCTGGGCCTAGAGCCTTGTTGGCATCACAATCTGTAATAGCACACCTAATCTCTGCATCAGAAAATTCTAATTCCAGTAGATCAAAAAATGGGTTGTTCCTAACTGACTTGAAAGATCCTTCCAACACAGGTCTTGATCTCCATTCCTCTTTATATTGTCTTTGAAAATATGCTTGAACCTCCTGCTTTACTTTATTAGGATCTTCAAAAACTTCATCTCCAATAGATAAGGAGTTAATCTCATTTCTCCCCTGCCTACTTTTGACTACCACATGAAAATATCTTGTATTTTTGTCTTCCTTCAAGTCCCAATTTAGTCTTGATTTTTGAAGCCACATCCACTCCACCATTCTATACAACCTGCCAGCTTCTTCACTAACCTCTCTTCTTCGAGCTTTTTCTGCCTCTACAAGCTCTCTAACCTTTGCTACCAGATCAATCTGATGCAACTCATCTTTTGCTTGTTTCAATTTAGTATTTATATTGCCAAATACTTCACTATTCCACTGTTTCAGAGCTAGCTTCAACTCTTTCATCTTCTTAAATAATCTGAATCCAGCCCAGCCTTGAACATCATGCTCCTTTCACCACTTTTCCATAAAAGGTAAGAAATTTGGATGAAGAGTCCAAGCATTCAGAAACCTAAACGGCTTAGGGCCCCAGTTTTTCTCATCTTCCGTAAGCAATAGAGGACAGTGGTCGGACACCAGTCTAGGTAAGCCCCACAACTTCAAACTAAAGGTTTCTACCCATAGGGGATCCAACAAAAACCTATCAATTCTACTCCACCTATCACCGTCCACAGAATTACACCATGTAAACTTCCTACCCAACATTGGTAAATCCATCAATTCTAATTGTTCAACAAAGTTATTGAGGTCATGCATCCCTTTATCTCTCCCGGATCCCATATACATAATAGACCACTAGTAGTTCCTTCAGCATCCACAGTCATGAAATTATCATCTCTCTACTCCATAATTCCCTCACCTTCATTTCTGACATAGAAACTTTCTTTGTCTCCTGAAACAATGCAATGTCAACTCCTCTGGCTTTCATCATGCTTTTAATTTTACTCCTTTTTTCCTTCCTACCCAAACCCCTCACATTCCATGATATTAGCTTCATCATAAAACAATATCACTAAACCCAGCCCCCCTTTAACTGCATTTCAACTTGCAGCATCAGTACCCCTTCCCTTTCTTTCTCTATCCTTTGCTTCTAAGTCCAGGATTTTTTATAACACCTCATCTTCATTACCTTTGCATTTTACTCCCAATAGTTTCCCTATTTGTAAAGTTGCAGAAGCCTCTTTAAGTGCATTGTTATCTCTAACCATTTCACTTTCAGATGATGCTGAAAAAGCCATAGCTGCTGCTCTCCATAGTACCCCTTTAGGACCTAGTTTACTTGATGTGGCCCCTTTGTAGCCATATCTTTTTACCAGGTAACCCGACTTCATCTCTATAACCTTCTTTCCATTTGATTTTCTTACTATTTTCTTCTTCCCTTTGCTTTGTTGTTCCTCCAATCTAGAACAAACTTCACCTTCATGGGTCTGTGACAAATATGAAGTACGTGACATAGGCCCTAATACACTTTGAGGCCCACCTTGAAAATCATCCTTCAAGCCCAGGTCTTGCACCACCATCCCTTTCATCTTGTGGTCCAACCCACCTGTTAGGCCCACTTCCTTACTAAGGCCCAACTCCATTTCTAATTCCACCCCATGTTTTAGTAAACTTGAGCCACTCAGGCTTCTTACAAAACCTAGCATGACAACCTGATCTTTACTCTTCTGACAATCCAACACATAGCCGTTGTTTATGTTCCCAACTATCTTCATAATACATTCTGTCCTCCCCTCGAGCTTATTACCAGCAGACTCAACCACCACGGTTTCAATTCTCCCATGTAACTCCTTATCCACCTCATCTCTATTCCTTTGTCCATATGTCACTTCCCGTCTTGACACCTCCTGAGGCTGGCCCATCTTCCGTGTTGACTCATCATCCCAGTCATCATCATCTTTATCTTCCTCACTTACTTTTTTCCCATCTGCACTCTGCGCACCCATGTTTGAACTACAATTCTCTTCCCTACCATACCTCTTCGAACACTTGCAACTCCTAACCAGTGTTTTTGATACCCCTGAATGTTGTTCCCACACTCTTACAGAATGAAGAGTACCCTTGCATTCTAGATTGATGGCTTGATTGAGACCTTGGTAGTAAAATGTTTTGGTAAGTCTTAGGAGACCAAGTAAATGACCTACTAATTAAGCCACTTCTATATCCTATTTCTTAATTCTATCTTAGAGTTGACAATAGTAAATTCAAGAACATATACTACAGGAGGGTTTGGTTCTGTTAAGAGTTGTATCTTCTATATTTGATAACAAAATTATTTTATATCAAAGTAAAGTATCCTTATTTCTCTATTTGATATTTGGGACGATCAAAAAAGTGTCTCAGAGGAACATAATTTTACTCTTGAGAACAATGAATGCATACTTCAGTCAATAAATTTTCTAATATCTTTATATTATTTTATATTTTCCCATCTCTTTTATATTTTGAATTTATTATTTAAGTAAGTAAAGTTTTTTCTTTACATTTTTGTTTTCTAGTTTTAAAAGGTTATACATATTGATTTTGTTTTGATTTTTGGGTGGATCAAGAGTTACTCCTCGTTACCTTAAGAGTATAATCCAACCTTACATATTGTAGTTTGCGCTATCAACACTACAAAGATAAACTCTTAAAATAAATAAAATATGACAGGGCTTTGATGTTGTTGTTTTTCTCTGTACATTGAATTTTAATAAATAAAGTTTTCTTTGTGGCTCAAAATAAATAAATAAATAATTTTTTGTCAGCAAACAAAAACTTTATTGATGAAAAACGCATAATACATGCAAAATTACATCAACAAAGTAGGGGAGCGTATATAGCATCATAGCCTAACCTTAACAATCCCAACTAGGTTGGCATCGCAAAGGAAGCACAATCATATGCTAGCACTTGACCCAAGATTGGTGAGAAGCCAATCAAAAACACCCAAAGAAGAAACAGAACAACAAAACAAGCATACAAGCATCAAAATAATCCTACAGCAACAGTAAGGCCTGAGCATAACATCAACAACAGAGCAGTGAGACTTGTGTAGAACCCTGCTGCCATGAACTCCTTTTAAAACAACAACCATTTCAAACCCAACAAACAATCCTCTATTCAACCATTTCCAAGCATCAAACACCAACCATTCAAAACTAGAAAAACCTAAGCATAACTTCTATTTCAAGACACCAAACTTGCTTCATAACAATCAACCTCTATTACTGATACAACATTTCATATATTCCCACCAAACTGCTGTTACTGGTCTCCAAAACCTAGACCTCAAGTATAACCAATCTCCAACTATCCCAGGCAGAATCCCCAATTAACCAAGACACCTTTTCACCTATTGTAGATTGTATAAAATATCATAAATAGAGTAATCTAATTCAGAACAAGCAGCTTTGAACCGCATTGTAACCCTGACTTTAATGACCTCACACAGCTCCACCAGATCTGGTTGTATGCCATTAAAAATGCAGTCATTCCTTTGTTTCCCGATGGACCATAACACAACCATAGGAATAGCTTTCCAGATAGCTTTTTGCTTTTTTTTCAATATAGCACCAACCTACCAATCCATTAGACTACCAACAGAACCAGGTAATACCCATTGCATACCCCACCAACATATGACATGAGACTAAACCTGCCAAACAAAAGAGCAAAAGACCAGCACATGGTTGACAGTTTCCATCTCCTGATTACAAAAAATGCAATTCACATTAGCCCTTACAGCAAGAACCCCAATTCTTTGCAAATAACTAAAAGTCTTGATTCTTCCTTTCCATGCCAACCAACCAACCAACCAAAAAATTGAGCTTTAGATAAGGACACATTCTTCCATATAATATTTACTGCTTTATACACAGGACCGAAAGATCTCTCACACCATTTATAAGTTGAAGACACAGTGAAACCTCCTGATGGGTCTATATTCCATCTCAAACAATCAGCCAAATTCTTTCTAATAGCAGGTGCACTTAGCAACACTAGTGTCAACCTGTTTAATTCCTCTATCTCCCATTGAAATAATGATCTTCTGAAATTAAGGGTCCACTCCACCTGAGCATTCCTTCTGATCTGTAATGCCTTTACAGATTGAAGTTTGTCAGAAGATAAAGAGAAAAGTCGAGGAAAGTCCTCCTTCGAACATATATTACCAATCTATTTATCAAACCAAAACAATTTTTTTTTCCCGTTCCCAAGCCTTAGACTAGAGTTATTTTTATAAAATTCCACCAACTCAGATAACGACCTAGCAACACCCATAATATCCTCCCAGATCTTTGATCTCTTTGGATTATCAACAGATAATGGAAACCACCACTTCCCAACCTAATGTATTTATTACAAATTACCTGTTTCCAGATAGTATTTGTTTTATCAATATATGGCCTTTTGCTGCTCAAAAAAAAAAAAAGCAAGACAGTCCGGACATATAACCAATCTCAACTATCCCAGGCAGAATCCCCAATTAACCAAGACACCTTTTCACCTATTGTAGATTGTATAAAATATCAGAAATAGAGTAATCTAATTCAGAACAAGCAGCTTTGAACCGCATTGTAACCCTGACTTTAATGACCTCACACAGCTCCACCAGATCTGGTTGTATGCCATTAAAAATGCAGTCATTCCTTTGTTTCCAGATGGACCATAACACAGCCATAGGAATAGCTTTCCAGATAGCTTTTTGCTTTTTTTTCAATATAGCACCAACCTACCAATCCATTAGACTACCAACAGAACTAGGTAATACCCATTGCATGCCCCACCAACAGATGACATGAGACTAAACCTGCCAAACAAAAGGGAAAAAGACCAGCACATGGTTGACAGTTTCCATCTCCTGATTACAAAAAATGCAGTTCACATTAGCCCCTACAGCAAGAACCCCAATTCTTTGCAAATAACTAGAAGTCTTGATTCTTCCTTTCCATGCCAACCAACCAACCAACCAAAAAATTGAGCTTTAGATAAGGACACATTCTTCCATATAATATTTACTGCTTTATACACAGGACCGAAAGATCTCTCACACCATTTATAAGTTGAAGACACAGTGAAACCTCTTGATGGGTCTATATTCCATCTCAAAAATCAGCCAAATTCTTTCTAATAGCAGGTGCACTTAGCAACACTAGTGTCAACCTGTTTAATTCCTCTATCTCCCATTGAAATAATGATCTTCTGAAATTAAGGGTCCACTCCACCTGAGCATTCCTTCTGATCTGTAATGCCTTTACAGATTGAAGTTTGTCAGAAGATAAAGAGAAAAGTCGAGGAAAGTCCTCCTTCGAACATATATTACCAATCTATTTATCAAACCAAAACAATTTTTTTTTTCCGTTCCCAAGCCTTAGACTAGAGTTATTTTTATAAAATTCCACCAACTCAGGCTTGGACCTAGCAAC